TCTGGTAGCATAGTGGTTACGAATTGGGCTGCTAACCTCAAGGTCGGCAGTTCGAAACTACCAGAAGTTCTGCAGGAGAAAGATGAGGCATTCTGCTCCTGTAAAGATTTACAGCCTCGGAAACCCTGTGCAGGGTCACTATGAGTCGGAACCGACTCCACGGTACTTAACAACAACAACAATGCTGGAGAGCAAGCTTCAGAATCTCTTCTGATATCCAATTTGGTCTTTTCTGTCTTCCTTTTGTTTTTTGCTTTCTTCCTTTGTGTGATGTTCTTGATGTCATCCTACAACTCTTCTGTTTTTTGATCATTGGTGTCTAATGCATCATATCAGTTCTTCAGACAGTCTCTAAATTCAGGTGGGATATGTTCAAGATAAAATTTTGGCTCTCAAAAATTTGTTTTTAATTTTCTTCATCTTTAGTCTGAACTTGCAAATGAGCATTTGAGGCTCTTTGTCACAGTCTGCCTCTAGCCTTTTTTTGGCTGATGATATGGAGCTTTTATACTGTTTCTTTCCTACAGATGTAGTCAGTTTGATTTCTGTGTATTTCATCTGATGAGGTCCGTGTGTATGGTCACCTTTTATGTTATTTTAAAAAGGTATTTGCAATGAATAAGTTATTGGTCCTGTAAAGTTCTGTCATGTGATCTCCAGCTTCATTTCTATCACCAAGGCCATATTTTCCAACCCCTGATCCTTCTTGTTTCCAACCTTTGCATTCTAGTCACCAGTAGCTATCAATACTTTTTGATTGCATGTTGATCAATTTCAGACTGAAGAAGTTGATAGAATTCTTGAATTTCATCATTACTGGCTTTTGTGGTTTGTGTATAAATTTAATAATAGTGATATCCCCTGGTCTTCATTGTAGGTGTATGGATATTATTGTATCACAGAAAACATTATATTTCTAGGTAAATCTTGAAATGTTCTTTTTGAAGATGAGTGTTGCTATTCCTCTTCCATTTGTCATTCCCTGCATAGTAAACCAGATTGCCAGATTCATAATGGCTAATACCAGTCCATTTCAGTTCACTAATGCCTAGGATATCTATCGTTATGCATTCCATTTCATTTTGACAACTTCCAATTTTCCTAGGTTTGTATTTCATACATTTCATGTTTCGATTATTAATGGATGTTTACAGCTGTTGCTCCTTATTTTGAGTTGTGTCCCGTTAGCAAATCAGGGTCCTTAAAGCTTTTACTCCATCGTTTTTATTACTAACGGTCAACTGTACTCTGAGGAGGCAGCTCTTTTGAGTATTTTGAGTGCCTTCCAATCTGAGGTGTTCTTCCTTTTGGCACTGTATCTGACAATATTCTGATGATATTCATCATATTTCAATATTCCGTATTCTGGTGCTGTCTGGTAGTGTTCCATTGCTGTTCATAAGGTCTTCAATGGCTAAATAGTCAGAAGTACTCTGCTTCTCGTTCATCCTAGTCTGTCTTAGAAGTTCAACTGCAACGTGTCCATTATGGGTGTACCTGGTGGTATTTAAAAAATCGGTGTCTTAGTTTCCAACGTTACAGCAACACAGAAGTCACCACAGTACTGACAGATGGTTTGTGGAAATCATGCTTCTTGTTGGCTGTTGTTAAGTGCCGTCGAGTTGGTTCTGACCCATAGAGACCCTGTATAGGGTTTCCAAGGAGCAACTGGTGAGTTTGAACCGCCGACTGTGCGGCTCAGACAACTTTGCAGTTCAGCGCATTAACCCACAGTGCCACACCACAGGACTCTGGAATGATATTTAGGAAACCTTAATTCTCCTTTGATACAGATTTAAATTTTATTTTATAATATTAGAAATTAAAGGCAAAGTGCCTAAGTCTTATCATATAAAGAAAGCTCTTAATTTTTATATTTTTGCCATTACACAGTTGTCTTTTTCTGATAGTTGATATGTTTGCGTGGCTGTAATTGGAATAGCTATTTTTCTTTTTAAGTTTTTATTGTGAATTGAGTGAAGGTTTACAGAGCAGATCACATTCAACAAGTCATTATAATGCTTTTCATCCATGTACCATTGTTAACAGTAAAACGAATACCAGTATTCACTTGAAGTTTTGCACTCCTCCTTGTGCTTTCAGCTCCCTTTATCTTTCCTCTGCTAACCTCTCTCTTGTGTAGTATTACCCCATAATCCAAGTTCACGTGCTACTTTCTACCCTTTATCCGGTGAATCATCTTCCCTTTCTTCCCATCCCTAGTAACCATCACGGTGGTGGTGGTGGTGGTGGTGGTGGTGGTTATGTGCCGTGGAGTTGGTTCGTACTCATAACAATCCTGCACAGAGTTTCTGAAGCTGGAAATCTTTAAAGGAGCAGAAATCTTTCTCCTGGGTAACCATCGTAGATGGTTTCTTTAAGCATGAATCTTTTCTTTTTACAACTGTCGTCTCATACAGTATTTTGTGATGAACTAATTTTACTCAGCACTTCCCACTTGTCCATGTTGAAATAACTGTTTTTTCTTAGGCTAATTTAAACTCTTCTTAAGATAAATTTTCCTTTTGAAGAAAAGATACATGTTGAATTTTGAGAATTAGTGATCTAATCACATGTGTTTGGACTTTTCCAGAGGCCATGTGGAAATGTTACATCACCTTTTGCTCAGAGAGATTGACTAAGAAGACAAGTAGTGAACTCCTCAGAAAGAAGGTCAGCCCTTGTGTTCTGTGGTCTCAGTGACTGACTAGAAAGTGACTGTTCTCAAGGAAGAACACAAACGTGGCTCTTCTCTGGTCTGCGGCAGCTTTCTTGAGCTTCATGCTTAGCCACTTCCTGTCTTCTTGTTTGGGAAGAAACCTGGCATGCTGAAGTTGTGAGTGGTTTACCTTACTACTTGCAGCTAGGTTACTAGGTGTCCCTTTTTTTGCTGGGCTACGCTTGGTGCAGCTGCCTAACTCAAGATCTTAAGTCAAACCTTCTCTGATTCTTCAGAGATACGCAAAACTGCTTTTGCTTGCTGTCCGAGGCCAGAATCCTGTAATGGGAATCTTTGTGATGGGTGAACTGAAGGATTTTTCTCTTTTCAGAGGCTGGAAAGAACCATGACTGCATTTAGAAAGGCACATGAACTCAAGCTTCTGCCTGAATTGCAGTACAAGCAGTGGGTAAGGACCTGGAGGCCCCATTTACTGCCTTTATTCCAGTTGTTGAGTGCTGGGCTCATGTGTCTTCAGTAGGCATAGTCATATACCCATTGCTGTCAAGTAGAACTGGTAGGACAACTCCCTTGGATTTCCAAGGCTGTCATCTTTAGGACCGGAAGGAGATGGCCACATCTTTTTCCCAAAGAGTGGCTGATGGGTTCAAACTGCTAACCTTTGGCTGCTGAGGGCTTCTGCACCTTCAGTGCTCCTTCATATGCCTGGGGTTTTAAGACATTTGTGGGAAAATTCCAGCATCGTTTTAATTCCATTTTCCCACAAACTTTTTGAAGCCCCAAAGCAGCCCATCCAACATTTCGGTAGGGTAAAACTTAGGGAGTGTTTATTGTCAGTGTTTGGTGTTTGGGAAAAATGAAATCTCAGTAAAAGGAACAAAATGAAGAAAAGAATTCAGTGTGGGTGTATTATGTTTGTCTATTTACATGTCTTTTATTGAGTATCCTTTTTCTGAAGGCTGGTCTAGATTAGCCATTGGTACAATAAGGACAAATTAGATGCTTTTCAGAAGTCAGCATTCTGGTAAGAGTCATATTAAACCATTGTTAACCTGTGGTGTTGGTAAGGACTGTTTCATAGACCAGAACAGTGTGCTGTGGTAATAAATACATAGTATTTGCTACATAGTAGGTGACTTGGACAAATCACTTGAACTTTCTGTGTGTTTTGCTTGGTTTTAAAATAGTGATAATGTTCTATGTCTTTGTCTTCTCACAAAGTCGTCAGAGAATTCCATGAGCTGTTGAATGTGTTTAAATACTTTCATGTGGAAAAAAATCAGGACAAGATTTTCTTAAGTGTTTATTTTATATAATCCATACCTTCTTTGATCCATATCATTGTGCAGTTTTATGTAACTGCAATTGGCATCTTGCTGTGATGTTTTATAGAGCCCTGGTGTGGTGCTGTAGGATAAGTGATGGTCTGCCAATTGTAAGGTCAGTGGTTCAAACCCACCAACTCTTCCTTGGAAAGCCAGTATTAATCAAAACAGACTCAATGGCACTTAACAACAGTTATATTCTATTTTTACTTTTAACATTTTTCTCATACTTTTATGTTATTTACATAATGCGTATGGTGCTTCAAGATAATTCTTTGGACTCCAAGGTCCTTGTGAACTGAAAGGTCAGCAGTTCAAACTCACCAGCTGTCCTTAGAAACCCTATCTAGGTCATTATTGAGTTGGAACCAACTCGACGACACTTAACAACAACATATGATAATTTATTATACCAACATCAAGTATCCTGTACTCATCAAATCTTAGATGTTGCCCTTCTTAACTCTCCCACCTTATCATTCATTTGGTGACTTTAGATTTTATTTTTATTGTTATATACATCTACATATATACAAGGGCACGGTGATTGTAGGATATACATGGACCGCCATCCACAAGGACAGTGGTTCGAACCCACTAGCTGCTCTGTGAAAGAAAGTTGAGGCTATCTATTTTCACAAAAATTTACAGCTTTGAAAACACTATGTTGTTGTTAAGTCCCATTTAGTTGGTTTCTACTCATAGGAACCCTGTATAGGCTTTCTGAGGAGCAGTTGGTGTGTTCAAATTGTTGATTTTTGTGGTTAGCAATCTAATGCTTATTCTACAGCACCACAAAGGCCTAAACAGGGACTTTATGAGTCGGAACCAACTTAAGTGCACTTAACAACAACAAAAAGGCAGGTGGAAACATTATCTTTTAATTCTGTTTTTCATAAACTTTTTGAAGCCGCCTCGTATAGGTAATTTGTTTACACTGTATGTTTTTAAAAGGAGCGCATCACTCATGGATGATGCTCTTTATTTTTGAGCCAATCTGCTATTTTGCTGAAAGGTGATCTCCTGGGTTCAGTTCAGAGTTTAAAGGGAATCTCAGTGCAGTAGTCTCAAAGTTTCCTCTAATCTCCCCGAGTCCAGTAAGTCTTGTTTTTTTTAAAAGAGTTTTGTTACTGAGTTTTTCCCTGTTCTGCCTAGGCTCCTTAGTAAGAATGTGTGGTAGTTGTCATCATCCTGCACTTTTGATCTCTGCTTAGTTGAGGCTTTGGTTTATGTAGGCTGTTAGTCCTGTAGACTAAGTTCTTCTTTTGGATCTTTGGTTTCTCTTTTGCTCCAGATGAGTAGAGATGGTCACTCGTCGGCTTTTAAGACCCCAGATACTACTTACCTAAACTAGGATGTAGAATATAAACTTCATAGTTGTGTTGTACCAGTTGACTGTGTTGTCCCATGAAACTATGGTCCTAAGCATTCAAACCCAGGAAACCAAACCTGCGAGGCATGTGGTTATATCTGGGAGGTATCCCTGACTGTACCCCCTGTGTGCTTTATTGTATATATGAATATTTATTGTATATATGAATCTTTGTGCAGCACACAGAAACATGTGGACCTGTGCCTATAGAAATAAACATATACATGGATACATACCTATCCTGTATTATACATATATATGCATACATAGCTACCTATGTAAGCACTCATATATTTTTTGTTGTTCATCCTACTGTTGTCAGATATGGACACTTTTATGATTCCTGCCTTAAATAAAAACCCAACAACAAACACACCAGTTGCCATGAATTCTATGTTTCATAGGATTTTTAGGGACTGTGATCTTTTGGCAGGCCTGTACTTTGAAGTGCTTTTGGATGGATTTGAACCACCAACTTTTTGGTTAGTAGAAGAGCACTTAACTGATTGCATCACCCCAGGACTCTTTATGATGCTTACTACCTATTGTTGAGTCTTGGTGTGGTGCTTTGGGTCAATGTGCCAGACTACAAAGCCATTATAACTGCAAGGTTGGTGGTTCAAGCTCACCAGCTGTTCCTTAGAAACCCTATACAGGGTCACTATGGGTCAGAACTGACGCAATGGCACTTAACAGCAACAACAACCTCTAGTGTCAAATTACATTTCAGAAAAAATTTATCCATTTATAATATGCCCAACCATTTAAATGAATATATCTCTTTCCTTCCAACACCCGGTTTTGTTGAGTCTTTTCTGACTCCTGGCAACTCTGTAGGACAGAGTAGAACTGCCCCATGTAGTATCTAAAGCTGTAAATCTTTGTAGAGACAAACTGGTGGGTTTAAACCTTTTGGTTAGCAGCTGACTGTTTAACCACTGTTCCACCATTGTGCTCTCCTGTGTCTTTGCAAACCCCACAAATTCTGGTTTTATCTTTATTGATTATTATACTCAGTTTGGTGTGGCGCTGTGGGTTAATGCACCAGACTGCAAAGCCATTTAAACTGCAAGGTTGGCGGTTCAAGCTCACCAGCCGCTCCTCAAAAACTGTATACAGGGTCGCTGTGGGTCAGAACCGACTCAATGGCACTTAACAACAACAACATACTCAGCTTACTGTATATGGGTTCTAGAATAGCCAGTTGTTTCATTAAAAAATTCTCATGTAAATTATTCAGCCCCTCTGGTTTTCATCTCTTCTTTGCTTTTCTGATAGCTATTGGGGATGGAAGCAGGGAAAGGAGGAATTCCAGATTGCTCTCCTTTTGCTTGCTTAGCAGTCCTGATAAAAGGTTTAGTGGAAAAAATGCTTGCCTCCGATAATGAGCTGCCCAGGTGTTTGCGGACTCAGTCATTGATTTCCCAGTGACCCTTTGTGTTTCCTAGGTTGAGTTGCTGCTGCATCATCACTCCTTAAAGGAAGCCCTGGAAGTGGCCATTGCGGGGACTGAATTGTTTAGCGCCTCTGTGACGATGTGGCAGATGAAGCTGCAGGTGTTGATTGAATCAAAGAGCACTGACATCACCACGCTGTTTGAAGAAGCCTTTGTGCACCTGAAGCCCCAGGTCTGTGAGTTGTGTCCTGTATATTTCATTCTATTTAGGAAAACTTCTAAGCCTTCAGCCAACGCTAATTCAGAGTGTACTTACATCATGAAAGCTGATGCTAGAGTGTGATTTTCATCCACTGGTGAGGTCAGTCCATGGAGAATGGCCTCTCTGATTGTTCATTTGAAAATTGACTATATCATAATAAAGATGATATGTATTATATAACATTTCCTATTCTATGCAGGTATTTTACAAGTGAGAAATAGTAATAGAATTTATTCCCACATGTTTCCAAAGACTCTTTACTTTTAACCACACATATATTTCAAAATCTTGAGATTATAGCTTTGCAATTCTTTTTTTTTTTTGGTATTCGTATGAAAAAAGCATTCGAGAAGGTAAAGTGGGAAACAGCTAAATTGCTACTCACATGTGTGTGCCTCTGGGATATGAGTAAAGATGAGATAGACAGTTCAGCCTAGATTAGTATTTGTATTGTGGGTCTGACTAACTGTGGGCTGTTACGTTTTTAATTAACTGAAAGAAACTTGGTGATAGTAACGGAAGGCAGTATTCCCCATCTGAAGAAAATGAGAACTAGCAAGAAAGTGCTGCTCTGGGTGACTTTATACGAGTAGGTAGCTTGTCCTTTTAGGCAGTTCTGGATGCCCAGAAGGCAAACTCAACATTAATCCATATACATACATGCATTTTTTTTACATTTTACTTATTTTGTTATTGTTGGGAATACACAATTCAACAGTTTCTACAGTTCAGTGATGTTGATTATATTCTTTGGGTTGTGTAACCATATTCACCCTCCTTTCCTGAGTTGTTCCTCCTCCATTCACTTAAACTCACTGTCCATAAGGGTCCTATCTAATTTTTCAAGTTGTGAATTTTCCCCATATAGAGAATTGATAAAAGAGTATAATGCTCAAGGTAGACATTTCTTCTAGTTAAGCCACACTGTTGTTTGGTTTTAAGAAGACTTCAGGGATATTTTAGTTTAAGGCTTAAAGATTATCTCAGGGCAGTAGTTTTCAAGGGTTCATCCAGCCTCCGTGGTTCCAGAAAGTCTGGAATCCATGAGAATTTAAACAGAATGAATCCTTACTTTATATAAAGTTTGATTATGTTAGGAGTCCTGTACTTTATTTTATATATAGTGGCTAATTTTCAGAACATACTGCTAAGCTGTCATTTTCTAATGTTTTAATTGTGAGCAGGTTTGCCTGCCATTGTGGATTTCTTGGGCAGAGTGGAGTGAAGGTACTAAAAGCCAAGAAGACACTGAAGCAATCTTTAAGGTATAGGTCTTGATGTGTTTAGGGAATGAGTAAATATTGTTCACTGATTATTAGCTTGAAGGATGTTTTCCAGCACTATGGAATTGAGTGCCCTGGGGTGGTTTTGAGAACATTTGTTTCACTATCTGTAAATGGCCTCATGCAACTTGTTGCTGTTTTTCCTTTAAATTGTAGAAAGCGATCCTCGTTGTTGCAGGTGCTGACTCAGTAATCCTGAAGGATAAATACCTTGACTGGGCTTATCGAAGCGGTGGCTACAAGAAGGCCAGAGCAGTGTTTAGAAGGTACTGATGATCTTTCACATCTGCTGCTGGTCTCTTCTCCCCACACTCAACTCCTCCTCATACCCAGATTATATGTACCACAAATAGTATCTGAAGAAGTAATTCAGACATTTTTTTAAAAAAAGTTCTGCTTCTGTCTCCTCTTTTGAACAATAAAAAGTTATTAGCCATTGTGGAGAAGTCCTGGTGTGGCGCTGTGGGGTTAATGTGCCAGACTGCAAAGTCATTTGAATCACAAGGTCGGTGGTTAGGGTCTTTGGAAACTCTATACAGGGTTGCTATGGGTCAGAACTGACTTAATGGCACTTAACAACAACAACAACCCATTTTGGAAAACACAAAATAAATAATTCATTATAATCCCTTCATAAAAAAAACACAACAAAACTTATGTTAATGTATCAGTTTAAAATTTATTTTTAACATAGTTAATCTTATATCTGTGATAATTCCAATTTGTGTATGTGCCATAATGTATTTGGCCACAGTAACTGTGTTTTGATGAGTGTTTACATAAATATTACTTGGAAATTCTTTCCTTAGAATATATTTTTAGGAATGGAATTAATTGGTTTTCTTCCAAGAGACCTTGAGATGTAGAGAGAACTTAAAACTGGCAAAGTGACAAAGAAGAGAACAGGAAGAATGCTGGATAATGATTGTTAAGTGCTGTCGAGTCAGTTCTGATTCATAGTGACCCTGTGTAGGGTTTCTGAGGAGCAGCTGGTGGGTTTGAACTGCCAACCTTGTGGCTCACAGTCCAGTGCTAATCCTGTAGTGCCACACCAGGATAATGGTGATTATGGGTAAATCCTTAAGATTTAAAGCATCGAGCATAGATGGTGGTTTGGGTCAAGTTCCTGCGTTGTCTTGTGGCCTCGTCTTTATTAAAGCATGAGTTGTGGAGGCACTAAAATGGGTATTTTGTATTTGTGAAATATGAGGTCTTTTGTCACTGTAGAAAATAAAATTGCCTTCCTTTCCCTCTTCTCTTTAGTTTACAGGAAAGACGTCCATTTTCAGTTGATTTTTTTAGGAAAATGATCCAGTTTGAAAAGGAGCAAGTAAGTATTCTGTTCATTTCTTGTCCAGGAAAATAGGTTTGTGGCTTCTATTACCATTTTATTAGTTTAAAAGGTCTCATTATAGCAGTGTAAAGTTTTGGTCCCCTGATCCAACCCTTTTTTCATAGACATGGCTTATGAATGTTAATCAAGCAAAAAAGAGAAAGTATGTGTCTGGGAAATAGAAAACTCATATGCCACCTCTTACAGGTAGCCTTTCCTGACTCCATAATTAATGCCTATCTGTTGTGCTGGGTTATTAGGTAGAGAGCGGACCCTCAGTAACGCTTTCTGGTGTCATTAGCTGGAATTGGTGAGCGCAGAAAAGTTCATCAGGAGTCTCGGTGAAAAAATTGAACACTGAAATCCAGGTTAATACAAACCTGCTGCCATTGAGTGAATTCTGACTCAGGGTACCCCTCTGTTTAGGGTCTCTGAGACTGTGTATCTTTGTGGGAGCAGATAACTTCATCTTTTTTCTGTGGAGCAGCTGGTGGGTTTGAACCACTGACCCTGCCATTAGTAGTGGCAGCCCCACCAGAGCACCTACACATTAATAACTAACCACATTGATTTTTGTCAATACGTTTCTGTTATACACAGTTACTGTATGTTTAATGGTTGTATTATTCTTAAGCTATAATTTTTCTTTCTTTTTTTTTTTTTAAACTCCATAGTTGTCTTATTTTTTTTTTTTAACTTTTCCATTACTTATAGTTTGTTTCCACTTTCTGATAATTGAAAACAGTCTTTTTGTTTATATGTTTTTCTTTTGAATTATTTTCCTGAGATAGGTTTGTAGAATCAGGGATACTATTTCACTTTTAATTTTTTATATATATATTGCCAGATAGTCGTGTAAAAACATCATTCTTACTCCGTTCTCCTGTGCATAAGGTCACTATGGGTAGGCACCGACTCGATGGCATCTAACAACAGCAACATAGCCTTGAGAGCGTTATGAGTTGTGGGTTATGAGTTGTGGGTTATGACTTGGGTTGCTAACTGCAAGGTCAGTAGTTTGAAACTACCAGACGCTGTTTAGGAGAAAGATGAGGTGTTTTGCTCCTGTGAAGATTTACAGTCTCAAAAACCCAATATGAGGGGGCTTCAGAAAGTTAATGTGTTGTTTTTTCCCTGGAGAAGAGCCAGACTTTGTTCGATTTAGTTGCCCCACCCCGCCCTTAAGTGCCTGGCAAATAGTAACTTCCTAATAATGTTGAAATTAAATTGAGACATTATAAATTATGCTTTTAAGACAAGATTGCTTTTTCTTTTAGGAATCCACCAAGATGATGAATTTAAGAGAATATTATGAGAGGGCTTTACGAGAGTTTGGATCTGTAGATTCTGGTAAGTAGACTTCAGTTACAGACAAATGGGTCTGTCTGGATGTGCTGCCTATGGCCTGTCAGTGTGGTTAGAACAGTGTGTCTAACCTTATTGAATCATGACCATCTTTGAGGATAAAATTACATTCTTCTCCTGCCTTCTTCCTTTTGTGTAAATACTTGGGAGCAATTTTTCAGGAATTTTTCATATTTTTCATATAATTTCAGGGATTCACAAGCCAGAGAGTCCATGGGTCTTATATTAAGAACTCTGGATTAGAGAAAGATTTGCTCAGTTTGTTTTTCTAAAAGTGATATTTGGAAGGGGTAAATTACTGTAGTTTTCCACAAACGATGCATGCTCTATGTATGTTTTAGCCAACTGCTGCACCAGTTGGCTAATGCCTTATGTTATCATAGGTGCACATTGCCGATATTTTTTACACATTGCTGACTTCAGTTGGCACTAAAACATAAGGAAACTATGAAATAAGCAGTCCTACAAAGAGCACAGCCTTCGGTATGGATTGCATCTCAATGTAAAGAAAACAAAAATCCTCACCACTGCAGCAATAAACATTCTTATCAAAGGAGAAAAGATTAAAGGTGTCAAGGACTTCATTCTTCTTGGATCAACTATCAACACTCAAGGAAGCAGCAGGCAAGAAATCAAATGACGTATTGCATTAGGCAAATCTGCTGCACAAGACCTTTTTTAAAGTGTTGAAGAGCAAATATGTCAGCTTGAGGACTAAGGTGCGCCTGACCCAAGCCATAGTATTTTTAATAACCTCATAAGCATGTGAAAGCTGAACAGTGAATAAGGAAGATCATAGAAGAATTGATGCTTTTGAATTCTGGTGTTGGAGGAGAATATTGAAAGTGCCATGGGCTGCCAAAAGAACAAACGGATCTGTGTTGGAAGAAGTGCAGCCAAGAGCGTTCCTTGGAGGCCAGGATGGCCAAACTTGGTCTCTCATACTTCAAACATATTATCAGGAGGGACCAATCGCTGGAGAAGGATATCGTGTTTGGTAAGGTGGAGGGTCAGAGAAAAAGAGGAAGACCCCCACCTAGATGGATTAGCCAAGTGGCAGCATCAATGGACTCAAGCGCGGCCACAGTGGTGAGGTTGACCCAGGATCGGGCAGTATTTCGTTCTGCTGTGCATAAGGTCGCTGTGGGTCGGTACTAACTCGATGGCACCTAACAACATCAACAACATAACCTAATTGAATCCTGGTGTGGTGGTATAGGATAAACACTAGACTGCAAGGTCAGTTGGAACATTACGGTCGGTGGTTAAAAGCCACCAGCCACTCCTTGGAAACCTAAGCCACCAGTCGCTCCTTGGAAACCCTGTATAGGGTCACTGTGAGTTGAACCATCTCAACTCTTAACAGCACTTTAACAATATAATCTAATGGTTTCATTTAAGATGGTCTGATGAGATTTTTCATTCATGGTTGAACTAATGCACACCTGTTTTCATTCTTTATTTTTTGATTACTGGGGAAATGCCAAACTCAGTCTATGACTTTTTGATCATGGCATTATACCTTTATTAACAATTATGATCAAAAGTAATTTTTTCATACATGTCTTTTTATATATGTTTTTATTTTTATACACATAAGGAGGAGATTAAAGAAAGTAAACAGACAGAAAGAGAATTAACAGAATGATAGAATTGACCTGTAACATGGTGAATGAGGCCAAAAATTCACTTCTGGGAATGTCATGAGACTATGCGGTATATGTATGGGCATACAATGTCAGAATTGTTTTTATGTAATCTCATTGTTTCCATGTGTTAGCTTCACAAAGTTCATAGATAAATGGAATGTAAAGATAAATAGAGTTTTCCCACAAACATTTTGAAGCCCTCTTTATATGTATGAGTGCTTTATTTGTGATAAAAGAGGGTAATAACATATAGGTCAGAACTGCAAAGGAGGGGAGTTACAGCAAAGGGTAAACGGGATATAGATTGGCATTAGTTGTCATGTAGTGTCACCACATTGCACTCATTTGTAGGCGTGTCAGGTGTACCCATGGGCAGAGGTATGTTATGTATAATCTGGGGTTTTTTATATGAACACAAAAATACTGATGTATAAGTCTTCAGCCTCATCTGAAGGAACGAAAAATGACCACTTAACCTGGTTTCACTGACCTTGTCCTGGTGAAATGAATGAAAGTCGTGTTTTGCTATCCCAAGCGAGTTTTATTAAAAAGTTTTAAAGTTACAGTGAATTAATTGGAGTCAATGTCACCTTCAAAGAGGCTCAGAAAAATCCTCCTTTTAAAAATTGTAGTATTTTTTTACAACAAGAATAACAGGCTGTCCTGACTAAAATGAATGTTTTCTACTTTCATTTAAAATTTGTTTTGATATACCTTAACGCAAAGAATTCAAGTATGAAAGGTATTGTCTCATGTAGGGCTCTAGGGAAGTAGCAGTAAGAAGTTAAATTTCTTAGAAATCTTGAGTTGAATCAATATTAAATAATTAAATTTACCTAATAAAACGTTGCCAGTTTTTTAATTGTATGTTTGCGGTAATTTTTTTGTCCTCTTTAAAGATCTGTGGATGGATTACATAAAAGAGGAATTGAATCACCCACTTGGTAGAGCTGAGAACTGCGGACAGATCTATTGGCGAGCCATGAAGATGTTGCAGGGAGAAGCAGTAGAGGTGTTTGTAGCTAAACATGCTATGCATCAGACTGGCCAGCTGTGAAAAGAGGAAGAACACAGGCAATTTGGTGAAAAAGAATTGTAAGCCCTATGGGCAGATTTTCAGATTGTAATTTGGTTAGAGATGGCTCACAAGATAGCAGTCTGCTTTTTTTTGTGTGTGACTTTATTTAATAATAATGTATCGATATTGGTTCATCAATTGTAACACAAATCGATATTGGTTCATCAAATGTACCACACTACTGCAAGGTGCAAATAATAGGAGTAATGTGTGCAGGAAGTGGGGAGAATAGTTAGAGGAGAACTTTCTGTACTGTCTGCACAACTTTCCTGTATAT